GTGTGTGTGTGTGTGTGTGTGTGTGTGTGTGTGTGTGTGTGTGTGTGCAAGAGTACGCCTGCACTTGCCAGTTGTTGATGCAGATAAGCACAGGGATCACACTTGACCCTGAGAGTAATGACTTATAAGCATAGCTGCAGGGTTAAGAGAGGCGCAGGCTAAAGGAGGGCTAATTGAGCAATCTGTGTGTGTGTGTGTGTGTGTGTGTGTGTGTTGGTGGCGCCAATGGGTGTTTTGACCTGCTCTGACTCGGCAGTGTGCTCGGTTAATGGTGCCTGACCTGTCAAATGCAGGGTTTGTAAAGAGTACAGCTCCCAAAACAACACCAGAGCGGAACATGGAAATGATACATTTGTTTTCCCCCAAAAATTGTCATATTCTGACAACAATTTATTATAACATATCACAACACAAAGTCAAATAGGTAGAAGTCTGCAGAATGAATGAGCTGACGTATTATTTGTAAGCATGTGCAGCAAAATAAATTAAATATTTCTCGGCCACATAGTGTGATGACTTTACCGTTTGGTTCTATTCCATTATTCCAAACTAAATTATCTTTTCATTTCTCCAATAAAACAAATATCCAATCATTAGATGTTCCTTTCCACACTGAGGTGGTTGAGTAACAAAATAAGAACACTGAGAATAAACCTCTATAATGAAGTAGAGACCTTTATTAGGGTGATAGGATATTGGAAATGTCGCCTTTCATGTCTGAGCCGAGCAGCGCACAGAGTGACAAGTTGCCTCCTTCTCTTTCAGGCCACTGCAGAGCTGCAGCGAGGATGAACTCAAAACAGTCATCTCATGTGACATGTTTTCAATGTGTGTGTGTGTAGTTATCAATGCCGTGAAGCACATACACATACCAAGAAGTCTGTGGAGGACAGTGGGAGAGAGGGGGGGGGGGGCTCTGCCCGAAATAAGAAATGTTGACGGACAAAGCCTGCAATTTGTGGGATCTGAGCATAAAGCAAACAAAGGGCAGCTTTTGTAAGGAATAATACATGTCAGCCGTATCCTTATCCCGCCACGGCTTTGAACACTGCTGGGGACGTCCATTGCTTCACTGTGTATGTCGTGTTGCTATATTAAAGCCAGTCATCTCAAAGGGAAAAGCCTCAACTATTCAACAATTGAATGGCGGGGCTCTCATTATGGCCAATGTGGGCAGGAAAAAGTGGCTTTGGGGGTTTTCAATTCAGCGACTTAAAGCCCTCTGTTAGCTCGGGACGAGCTGCTGTTTATCCCAATGCCTTTCTGGGGGCTAAACATAGTCAACTGTCATTATCTCACTCTCTCTCCTTGTCTGTCTGTCTCTCTCTCTCTCTCTCTCTCTCTCTCGCTCTCTGTCCTCCCCCTCACTAACATTTATTTATTTCTCCCCCAATTTTGTCATCTAATGACCCGTGTTGTGTTGTTGTTTGAAGAGGGCTGATGTCTCTCCGGTCTCCCACATCCTGAGGAAGAGAAAAGGAGGGGTTTGGCTGGGATACTGGAGGGCGAGCACAGGACAAACAGTACTGCAGACCACCTATATGGATGAAAGCCACGAGTGTACGGACGGCATTCCCGCACGCAACATAAAGCCGGAGGGAGCAGCGCTTGTACATGCCTTAGGCTGTATGTTACTGTATCTTACTGTATGTGTGCCCTCCAGTAATCCCTCATCAACGAAACGCCTTCATAGATGTCCTAAAAGCATTTTTTATTCAGCGCCCCTCTGTGTCAGGCGCCTGGACGGTTGGCAGAGCAGCTTCCCAGCAGCTCCACATGAATAGAGCCATATTAGAAAAAGAGGCACAGTATATGAAATGATGTGAATATGTATTAGCAGGGGGGATACATGGTGGAGTGCAGAGGAGACAGCCAGGGAGGTGAAAGCGGTCTTTGTGTGAGCAGAGCCCTCTGGTGGACCCTCCCCTCAGAGCGGGGTTGCCCAGCCCCTGTGGTGGCGGATCACAGTTAATAACTGTGCGGTGGGCTGTCAGAGGCACTTAGCCTAACGCTGGGCAGGCCGGGGTCCAGGCCCGGGCCCGCATACACCGCCCGGACCAAAGCTCTCAGCCGTGAAGCAGAAGACACAGCGAAAGGAGATGGAGGACTCATACATTGGGAAAAAAGGTTGGAGAGGATGATCGCATGAATGAGACGACGAAACAAATACGACTATTATAGCGTGTGAAGCAAAGTCTAATAGGCATGAAGAGGGTAAATAACTGGGACAAGGCTGGGATTTACACACTGAGCTCAGGTGTCCTCCCTTAAGAATTCTGTGCCAACTTCAATGCAGATCGAGAGCTCAATCCAGCATCAAGCATTAGGGATGGGGCTCTTTTTTAATGCATTACTCACATGCCAATAAGAACAGCTCGTCCTGAATGAGAATCGCTCCAAATCAGTTTGGTGTTGTCCAAAATTATCGTGTTTTTAGTGCAAACTTCCCTCTTTGTGCCACTATCTCTCCTCTGCAGCTCAGCAAGAAATCACTGTCTGTAAAACACAAATCATTTTGAACTTTGAAATGCATTTTTACATTTTTGTCTCCTGTCTCTTACATTACATTACTTTACAATACAAA